AAAAAAATACCAGCCATCCCGTCCGTTCGTGACGTTCGCGCGCATAGCTAATCACTAACAAACAAACAACGGATTTAAGTTTTTACTTTCTTGCTTCGGAGTAGAGACAAAGTTTTGTAATGCTGCGCGAATTTTTGGCAAAAAAAAATATTATTACAGGACTCTGATATCAAAAAAGTAGATAGGTTCAAATGCTAAATTTAGAAAAAAAATATCTATGACACGTGGTGAAGCCAAAATCTATGTACTCTGGGTCCATGATACCGAAAAAGTACGGCAAAATGTCTGTCGGTCTGCCCGTCCGTCCCTCCGACTGCGAACAACGATACCGGCCAAACCGTTCAGCCGAATTTTCTCCAAAATAGATATCTAACTGGATGATGTCGCGGATCCTTGAATTTGAAATTGTTATTTTAATTTCTGGGGGTACTTTAAATAAAGCACCTGGTACATTTTTAAATTTTTTAAAAAAATGACACCTAGACTAAAGTACATGTAAGAGAAGGTCATAAGTGTCATGTTTGGTTGAAAAATTATTTTGCAAAAATTGAGAAGAATCAAATTTTTTGGGGGACTTCCCACAACTAAAATTTTAAAAACAGAGATTTTCCCGCCACCGTGTTCCTAAAGATAGAGTTTCAAATAAGGCCAAGTACTATTTTTCGAAAATTTCAGTAATAAAAATAATTTTGCGTTAAATATAGACAATTTTCAATTTTGTTGAAACAATTTTTTCTCAAAAACGGATCAATCGATTCTAATTAAATTTTATTTTTAGATAGTTTAAAGAACATTTAGGAAAATTATGTAAGTCTCATGTTGGTGCATAACTCTTAATTTTTCAAATATTGAAAAAATTCAAAATTTGTTCAGCGCCCTCCTACATTTACATTTATTAAGATACATTTTTTTCGTAATGAAATGCGTATTCATAAAAAAACAGATCTTCATATAAGGCCATGTTCGATTTTTCAAAATTGTGAAAATTTTTACGTAAATTGGAAAAGAATTTGAAATGGTAAATTTGAATTTTCAGAGCTGGAATTGAGTCCGTGAGGTGACAGTCTTGAAAAGTAATTTAAGAGACAGAGGCAGTTGAATATTCTGAAAATCTCTCATCGTTGTTAAACTTAATATTAATAAAATTATTATTACAAATCATAGAACTTTAGGTGCAAACATTTAACTATATTAGTTTCAATGTAAATACGTATTACGTTATAAATATTGCGTGAAAAAACATGATTTCTTGCTACCATTTGCTGCAATAGCAAAGTAATATGAGGTTATTAATTTGAAATATTTATTAATTTGTGCGTTCTTTCAGGTCCTAGAGATCATTCTAATTTCTAAGATTTATATGATTCATTTTGATGGAGAGGCGGGCGCTGTTGATGCCTTTTTTTAAATTATAACGTAAAGCACCCTTTAAAATTAAAATATCAGTTTCCAATTCAAGGAACATGGATTGGATATATTTGATTTTTCAAAAAATAGTAGTTTTTACAAACTTTTGTTTTTACAAACTTTTGGCATTTTTATTAAAAACTGCCGGTTATTTTTTGATTAAATTGAGACCTTAGATTGCCTAAAGAACGCTTAAGAGAATGGGGCAGATCTCATTTCGTTGATGGGGCATGCCTGATTTTGCGAAAAAGAAACTTTTCGGAGTCTCACTACAACTACAATTGTGAAGATACAATATATTTTCGTAATGAAATGTGTTAATAAAAGTATTTTTCCGTTTAGTTAACTAAATATGCTCATTAATTCCATAAAAATTGTTGATTATCATTGTTATTATGGATTGCGTTCAATTAATACTTAATCTTGCAGTAAAAAGTCATTTCAATGGTTCTGAAAGAAACACTCAAATGAATAAATATTCCAAATTAATTACCTAACTATTACTACTGCAATTAATCAATTTAAAAATAATAACCATCTTATTAATTAAATCAATTAATAAATTATTAATCACTTGGATATATCACATATCCAAGTTTCTAGGTGATGTTCCTTGCACTCCACAGTTGAATGATATCTTGAACTGGACAGTATTATAATCTTATGAACGATAGCCGAAATAACACAGTTCTTTTATAATTATTTGCCTCCGGTAAGAAGGAACGAAGAAAGCCATTATACTGTGGACAGACCTTTAATTTTATGTACTATCTGTTCGAAAAAATTAAAGTAAAATTCAATCCATTTTGAGAAAATGGCGTTTGAGCGTTTCTGAAAAAGTGGAATTTTGAGCTAGTTTTCACAAAACAGAAAAATTGAGTAATGTTTCAAAAAAATACTTGGGCCATAGATAGCAGCCGGGAACAGCATTCGACAAGTGAGAATAGCTAGCCCACACAAAGGAAATAGAGAACTCATACGGGACAGTTGTGCCATTCTGTAGCTCCACTTGCTACTCTCTTAATGTGTTGCTTCCTGCTATGGAAGAATTAATCGAAGTATGTGTACTAGGGAATATTGCTATGGACGATGTAGAAAATGCAATTCTGCACGAAATTTAGAACAAAATTGAGCAGGAAGTCTGTAAATTTTGGAACATTGAATAGTTTCTTATTTTAAAGGGTTTTCCAATTTGCCAAGCCACAGGAATTTCAATATATATTTTTTCCTCCTCACTGGCTTCCATTCCCATTGAGTGGAAACTTACACTTCCATCAATGGCGTACATCATGTTTTGAAAAAAACTGCAGTCTGTTTTTGTCCGCGTTCTTAATGTACTAAGAACCCAAAACGAGTATAACCGTCAACCAACTCGGTACACTTACGAAGCCTCGTTTAGCGAACCGAGCCCGGTCTAAGGCTTATGTTTCCTACCGAGGCCGTGATTGGTGTTCCGGGCGTCACGTGACGGCAGCTGGGCCCGCTTGTCTTCCAGCGTCGAAGTGCACAAACTCTCAGTTACGGAACTTTAAGAGTCTAACTGTGCGTGTCGCATGCCGCAGGGAGAAGGTGCGCGGAATGGCCTTCGTGCGCGAGCCGCCGCTGCCGCGCGAGCGCCCGCGCCACAACTTTCCGACGTTCCCGCCCAATCTGGCGGGCGACATAAACCGCATAATGACGCCCCTCACGGGCCTGCCGGGACCCGCGCCGCCCGAGATACGAGACTTCTTCAGGCTGTTCGGGCACCACAGGCCCCGCCACCGCCGCCGCGCCCACGCCCACGCCCACGCCGCCTCAAAAGAAACCGGCGGTAAGGAACAGAGATCTCACTCCTAGTAGACCCTGTCAACGCAATCGGAACACATGTATCTGCCTAAACCATTTCTCAGCGATTGCGTCAGGTTGGTTTGAATGCACGGAAGCCTGTTCAATGCATTCCACTTACCACGCGCCAACGACAAATATTACGTAGGTGTAAGGAAACATATTGGTCAGGTGTTAGCAACAGTGGTCAAGTGTGTTGTTCACCGACGAATCCCGTTTCACCGTGCCAAGTGATTCTGGATACCAGTTACTGTGAAGTGAGAAAGAGAGAGAGAGATAGAGAGAGAGAGAGAGAGAGAGTGACAGTGACAGTGAGAGTAAGAGAGATAATGAGAAACAAAGAAAGAAGGAGAGAGAATGAACGAAAGAGAGAGAAAGAAAGAATGAAAGAAAGAAGAGCAAACTATGATAATCACTGATAACTTGGTTCAATGCACGCAAACATTGAAAATTTTATGTTTTATATTAATTTTCAATTCAGATATATAACACAATTCATTTTAAATTCTGTCGCAACATATTTTACATCTACATTTGCTTCTTCCCCGAATTTCCCTAGCACTTCCACATTTTTCTCCTGTAATTTTTGAAGAGATTCAGTCAAATGTGTTCACTTTTACTTCTGCAATTGCTCTATTAATTGTTTTGTATGAGAATCTAGCATTGCATGTAAATCTAACATTAAAAGATGACTCTTTTGTATGTTTATTTAATTGAAGTGTAAATTAACTTAAATAAACATAAGTTGTGGGTCACATTCATTTGAAAATCGGTATTTGCACACTTACGTAATAACGTAAAACTGAGAAGGCGAACATAGCGTTCATTCATTCTCTAGCATTACTCACAGTGTATTTTCCGTATTCACTTAAAATTCTTGAAGTTTAATAAGATCCGAGGCGATATTGTTCGTAGGTTTTCGCAAACATATTTTTAAAAAAATACTTTAATTCGAATCTAGATTGAAATCAATCTGCAACGCAACTTAATTGGTAATTCAATTGTTCACTTTAAGACAACATCAGTGTTACCAACGTAATGAAAGAATGTTATGGCGTATTTTGCTAAACATTTATTTGGGTACTGGTGTTTAATCAATGCCATCTACATAGATCGATTTAGGATGTGTTGGTTTAATTTCCTGGCATTATCACTACACAATATTACGTTTTTTTGGAAATTTATTTGAATCTTCAGGTCGGACCCGAAATTATCACATCACCCCATCAGATGACCGAGACGCCTCGAATGACACTTCATACGTCTCGATTGGTGCACGGAAATTGGTCTAGCAGTGATAGAATCTCATACAAACGCACACTCAGAGTTTTACTCAAATACTGTATAGGGATTACCGTTAGGGATCGCGACAGTAGTAACCATTTTCCAACAGTGTTTAAGGAAAGTAACAAGCAAGAAACCATGTTGCATAAATTATCTAGATGATATATCAGTAACAGAACAAATCATATGAAGAACATATTAGGGGTTTAGAGAGGCTACTGAACAAGATAAAAGAGGGCAAGTTCACAGGCAACACCGAAAAGTGCCTGACTAACAGTCATAAAAGTTGGCATGCCTGGAAACAATCAATCAACACATTCGATGAACACATTTTATTCCGTTATCTTTTAATATATTATTAAATGGTAACATTTTTGCGGTTCCAGTATTTATTAATATAAAATAGAACGAAATATCTGCTCCCACCGCTGAATTCAACACCTTCTTGTATATTGCAACTGGGCAGAGTGTTGTTGGCGCTGCGCATGGGCCTGCCCCACGAGTGCCTGAGTGGCCTCCCTGGAGAAGGAGGTGCCCGAGACCGTGCACGCCACCCAGGAGATGATGCGACTGAGGCTAACGGTCACCCAAGGACTCAAGTCTCTATTTCTTCTCACAACAGCCAATGCTCTCCAAGACTTCACGTCTCATTTGCCCAATGCGAAACACGTCGGAATGGTTGGTATATTCTTATCTCTCCCTCTCACTGTCGCTCAGCCTCACTGTCGCTCAGCCTCACTGTCGCTCAGCCTCACTGTCGCTCAGCCTCACTATCTCTCAGACTCACTATCTCTCAGACTCACTATCACTATTTTTGAAAACTGTAGTATTGATAGACATTTTTTCAATGAATTCTGTTCTAAAAAGGCAGTTCTTTATAAAACAACCTTTTAATTTTTTTTAAATTGTTTAGTTTTGAGTAAGTCAGCAAATTTTCGAAAAAAAGAAAACTTAATGGAGTATTATTCCTTCATGTTTTCAATGTCCAACATGAGTTCAGAGGCGCGTTGTGTCGACGAAGACGCAACAATTTAAAACAATAATAATTGTGGTTTAATAATTTAAACGTAACTGCTACTGATGCGATAATGCACCACTAGTTTTAATTACAAGTCCATAGATGTATATAATATTTATTTTATTTAATAGGTAATTATTACAAACGAATTAGATTACATGATCCTATGTGGCTAGGCCGAAGGCCTTTAAGCCATTACAATACCTACATCTTCGCGTTCTAATCTTTCGAATTCTGGTATTCACCCAAATGGTCTCTCCATCGCATCAAAGCCGCGAAAAAGAGACCACAAGCCGTACCTTGTGTATGTAATATACTCAATTTGAAATACTTATAAGGAATATTTGTTCACAATTTTCTATTGTATATTTACTTGAACATTCCTGTTTCAGTGTTATACGCGATTTGGATGATTTGGTTTTGAAACAACATAAAATATGAAGAAGAAAAATCGTGTGGCTTTTGGAGGAGTTTCCAATAATATTATATATATATATATAATAAAATTTAATATAAATATATAGATAATATATATATATATATATATCCCTGTATGAGATCTAAAATAAATTATTCAAAAAGGTCCCGCTTCAGTTTCAAATTCACATAGCGTATATATGAAATATCTCAAATTCCATCAACTACTCTGTACAATCGTTCAACCACGCATTGACTTAGTATATTAATGAAATGTTTGAAATTCATATGAAGAGGAATATTTCTCTTATGGAAATCGATTTTACGAACCAAAATTAATTTCGCTATACTAGTTTGTCAAAACAAAAGGTTTTCAGTTCGAATCTTGTTTTCGATGATTTAAAAAATGTTCTTCAGGAATGTTTATTTACATAAAATTGCCAAAAAATTAAAACGTGGGATGTAGAAGAATTATTAAAGCATAAGCTGTAAAGCTAAATACGCACTATGTTATTAAAACTATTCAGGCACGTGGCTGAAAATTCCTTTCCAATTCGTGGCATCCTCTATCGGTAATGCTGAAATTGGTTTCCCCGCCCCCTTAGCCTTGATGACAGCTTCCACTCTTTCAGGCATACTTTCAACCAAGTTCTGACAGGTTTCTGAGGGAATGGCAGCCCATTCTTCACGAAGTGCTGCACTGAGGAGAGGTATCGATGAAATGAAAGTTTAAATACTCTGGTGTATTTTATTTTATACATAATGTAGCTAAATGAATAAGAATTCCGTTGACTCGCATAAATTAAAATCAGAAAACGCAAAATAGTTGAGTATAATTAGGAACTGTTGACTTAGTCAAGCCCGGTAAGCATGAGCCTCCAAACTACGAAGTAAAAAAGTCGCTTTTAATGTTACGTGCCCCGACTCCGCGCGCCCCGACTCAACGCGAACTGTTGCTTTTTCGGGGTACGAAGGAGTGCCACTCTGAGAACGTCGTCAGGGAAGCGGTAGGCTTGGTCCCTTTAGCGCCGATAGATGGTAGCCAGGTAGGAGATGGAGGAAAGGAAGCCCCCGTCGAAGTAATCCCGAAACTCGTTGTCGAAGAGTGACATCTGTGAGAAGTGACAAATTAGAGTTATTTGCATTAAAATCCGAAAAATGACTTTTTTCAATTCCTAGCAAAAGAAGTTTTTCAAGCAGGCATACTTAGAACAATTCAGCAAATACTAGCCCACAAACCGAGGCATGCTTACAAACCTTTATCAATAGGCACAAAAATATAAAAAATGCAAGACTGAAATTTCTTTCTCTACGCCTACCCCAGAATGAACACTCACTGCACGTTATCGGATGCAGTAATGATGATGATGATTCGACAAGCCGTGCGAGAATAACATCCTTGCATGGCCGTCAATCAATCACATTCGTCTTAGTTTATTATACACGGCACAGGGTTCTCGCAGTCGCTTACAGAGGCCCCACGGGTTCCGCCACGCCAGGTCGCCACTGTCGTACAGCAGGGGAACCACGAAACAGTATGCAGGCCGGTGTTTGGTAGAATTAGACAACATTGAGTGTTCTGTAGATGTTTTGTAAGGTTAAGGCGCCCATTTAGTATTTTTAACACATCAATCTCAAAGTCGTAGAGAAAGTGTAGTTTTCTTCTCGCATATAATGGCTATATTCACTCGTAGAAATTCCGGCAGTCGCTGATACATTGCTCATGTCGTAAACATAAACTAGTGAATACCAGTTATCATTTTAGGCTCGTTTAAAAATAAACTGTTCCCCTGCGGTTTGACAACACAATCCAGCAGAGCGTGCGTGACGCGCACCTAGAAACAACAGACGATCTGCGCCGGTGGCGCCGTCGGCGGTGGGTGTGATGGGGAGGGAGAGGGGGTGACGGGCGCAGCGGCGGTCAGTCTCGTCCTCAACCACTGGGAAGAGAGTTGGCTTCCCACTCGTCTCCGTCTGCCCGCCGCAACCCACCGCTCACCACCAGCGAGGCCAACACGTGCTCGGCCAGGCAACACCAACGAGATGGTCGAGTTTAGGCTGCTCATCGGCGTAAGTTGAAATGTTTACACGACTAGTGGGTTCGCTCGCTTGGAACCAAATTCTTAGCCTGTTGGTACCAAAGGATTTCAAAGTGTCGGAAACGTTATGCACGGATTAGGCGGGAAACGTTTCATTTGAACAGAAGTTTTTTCGATTACTTCGTATACACAGTATACTTGTTAAAATTACATGTTATTGTTGAAATTAATATTACCTTCCTTCTGGATGCTCGGTATATATGCACATGTATTATATGTGAATTTTTGTAGTGAGCTACTGATACTGTCACCTGATGAATATGATCACTACGTCGAGTGTTGTAGTTATAGTCAACTGCGATTGCTGAAAATATATTCCCGCACTTAAATAAGTTATTTTTGTCAAAAACCACTGATTCATATATGAAGAGACAAGGTAATGGTAAAATACCTAGATTAATAGAAGAAATAAAATAATAATAATAATAGTAATAATTACAATAATAGTAATAATTTGTTTGTTTATTTGCAGCCATTATTTAATTTTGTTGTTAAAGTATTTGTGGTTAGAAAAATTTGATTTCAATATGATGACAGAAGTTTGTTTAAGGAGTTTCTGATGCCGAAATTGTGATTCATTTTGTTTCAAAAACATTTTCTTGTTTGTGTCTGGCACAGTACGCAGATCTCATCAATCATTTTGGTTCCCACTGAAGACCTCGCGAATGTAAGATTTTTCTCTTAATTTTCGGGGTACTGCACATAAAGTGATTGTCCATTATGGAAATTGTCAAGAAAATTGCTCCAATTTTTTTCTTCGCTTTTTTTATTACAATAGAGAAAAAGTGCTCTTATAAAAATGGTGTAAATCCGATATTTAGTGCAATATTGAATTTAAAAAATCGCAAAATTTGTATTTTCTTCTATGCCTTACAACAACTACAATGTTTAAAATACACATTTTTCCTTCATAAAATATATTCGTCAAACTTTAATATAATATAATTTTAAAATCTTAACGGTTTTTACCGATTGGAGGGGGAAGGGATCATGGCGTAAGTCTGCTCCGAATTAAACATCTAACATTTCAAAAATGTAAATTGTTTTCTACTCACTCTTTCAACTTCGTTGAAGACATAATTGTTTAATGCAATTCAGTATAGATCTTGAAATCAATTTATTTTTACTTTGTTGAAATAGTTAGTAGTTTTCGCAACATTTTGAGCAAACTCGAAATCAAGATTTTTTGAAGAAATTTCTATGTTTTATTTCTTTTATCTTTTTGTTATGATAGAGTGTAATATACTGAATTCTATGCTCCAATTGCTTCATTTTCATGTAAAAATTAGGTATGCTTATTTTTAGAATTTGCCGCGCCTAGTTTGTATAAGAGATAAAGTATTAATTCGATGAAAGTTACAATATTGTAATATTGTAGAACCGATGTAAATATTACTGCTAAAAATGAATGTTCGTTACACCTCTATTCGCACATTCAACACATCATGGAATTTTCCCTTCTGTAGAGGGGAACTAAAGACGCTATGACTCACATATCCCCTTTGTTCTGCAACCACACCCAACCTAGGCTGAACGGTAAAGGATTACTGGCCGGTTTCACCGAAATATACCTAACGAGACGTAAGAAAACTAGTCGATAAAATTGTATTTGTTAATTTGCTCCATTGCACCAACATTGCGCCGTCATCGTCTATTAACTTTCGTTGATGTATAAAGTATTTTGCCTAAAATTACAATACAAATTAACTTTCTCAAGAAAATCATTTTCAGACATCTCTACAAACTATCTGAATTGAAAAGATAGGCTAGGAATGCCTGGTATCAATATCTTCTTTAAATACGGTTCTGAGAATTTCTTTTTCGGAGTCCGAAGTTGGCTAGGTGTTAAACGAGAGATTTGGAATGACAGAACTGGCGAGAAAGATGGGGGTGTAGAGGTGTAAAGGTGATCTAATTATGGTTACAGCAGTTGGAAAGGGGAGTGATAGCTTCGCCTTCCTTCGGAGGGGAAGTAAAGCCGGCTGTCCATGTTAGTAGATTTACTTGCATGTAAAAGATCCTCAAGCCTAAATGACGCCTCTGAGCAAAATTCAAATCGCCTGTTTCTCGCCCAAGAAATACCTCCTTTCTCTGCTAGTTGGTGAAAGGAGCGTAGCGAAATTTGTATGGTGAGACGGAAGAGTAGGCCTCATGGTCTGAGACTCGCCACGTAAAACAAGGAATTAATTCAATTCAATACGCAGTAAATTCAAAGAAAAATAAAAGATATAGTAATACTACAGAATACTTTTTTAAACGTGCAAAGATCAATTTTCAATTCAATTTTAGTTACAACTTATTCTCCTTATTCACGTAAACCTACAAAATAGTAACCTTGTAATGCTTATATACTATATTCGCAGTCAAAACATAAATCAGGCTGAGTTAGTGGGGTTTTAAAATCTTAAAGAATCAGGGGACAAAACTATGGTCCAGTTTAGCAACTCAGGAGAATGAAATGCAGTTGAAGTTTTTGCGTCAGAATTTTCCAAACTAATTCTTACGATCTTGTATTAGCATTAGAGAATAACGGAGGAGAACCGTTTACAGGAGATCATTTATGTTAATATTCATTTATGGTCAAAGAAAACGTAAAGAAATATAGCAGTAAGAAATTATAATTATTCGTATCATTCACATACCATCAAGTGTTTTTTTTTACGGCGGTTATAATTTTAAAATTAATTTTTCCAATATTACCAGTTCATATCCCGTATGGAGGTAATACGAATGCAAGGTCATTGAGAGTTGGATATTTTGAACGGAAGTGTAACTACAACGATTCATTGGGAAGTCCAATTCCAGATTCTGTAAAACATATCTGAACAAAGAAAGACATGAAAAAAATGTATGAAAGAAATTTTCAACACTTAAAAATACTTTTGAAAGAGTTTACAGCATCGGTGATGCCACATTCAACTAGTATTATGTACTGTGTGCTAGTGCGTATACCTCGCTCAAAATCAAAATCTCGGTCCAAATCAACATTGACCTTGCGTATTCCTCTTGGTGTTCGCAGATCGGCAAGAAGAAGGAATGCAGAGAGAGAGAGACAAGTAGTGCAGGCGCCTCCCGCTGCCCACCTGTCTGCAAAGGAAGTTGTGAACGCCCTCAGAAGGTAAGATTCAGGGCATGCTGTTCTCCCTTAGGACGGCTTCTAAAGTTTGAGGTGAACATCGTACAAGTACATGGACTGTCGTCAATTTGTTGATAATGAAATTCCCACTACGTAAAAATGTCGAATTTAAACAATAGTTTCGAAAAATGCCTCAAATCAAATGTCTTCTTCCTTTCACAGTTTAGGCCAGAATGCATGTTCTGACTTCCCTCCATCGTTGAATTGTCTTCGTCGACTGTGTGAATGACTTCTCTCCATTTTGTGTGGCCATGATAAAATTATTTGTATGTAAATGAACCGATATTTTGCCAATATTTGCTTGTTATCTTAGGTGAGACTGGCTGGATCACTGGCGACACACATCGAAGAATGTTTATAAAAAGATGCAGAGGGCAAATTTCTAGATTTTTCACCCATTTCAAAATAAGCTACACTATTGTTTGATTTCTCACCTTAGAGAACGTAGCAAAAAGAAAATTTTGGAATTCTCCGGCAAAAACCGGCGATTTTCAACATAAAAACTCACTGTTGGACATTTTTAACGAAAAAGTGAATACATTTTGTTCCTTAAGAAATAAGTTACTCTAAAACTTTCTGAAGTCAGAACTCACGTTTTTTTATCCTTGATGCCAAAACATCCCTCCGTACATCAACGCTAGCGCCTAAACTAAGAAAATCGTCTCGATTTTCTTTACAACAGCCATTCCCCGATCGATCTGAAGGAACTCGATGACCTGCGAATTTGAAACTGATATTTCAATTTTGGTAGGTATTTCAGATTAATTCTCAACATTTCCTAAGACTCTCAAAAATGATTCCACATCATTTTTATTTAAGTTCGGTTCTATAAATTGAAAAAGCTCAATTTTTTGGTGTCTTACTACAACAATACTTAAAATGGAGAATTTTTTCTTACGCAATCTGTTATTTAAATACATATGTTGAAATAAAGTTATGTACAGCTTTTCGAAAATATGAGTGGTTTTCTAGAAATTTTGAATGAAATGCTGACAATTTTAAAATAATTATTTTCTCAAAAACATATCCAAATTTTTTTTCGTATGTAACAAACTGTGGGGAAACTCCGGTGCTAATCCGCTTATCAGCGAACACATTGTACGTTCTAAACCTAAATAAAATTAACTTTACAAAAGTACAATATTAATGATTAAATTTTTTTCTTGAATGAAATTGTTTAAAAAATAAATTTCATATACTTTTATTTACATTTTTAAAGTACGAGTATTTTCACTTCATGTCTAAAGTTACGCAATTTATAAATTTTTCTCAAAAAGAACTACTAAAGTTTTCTTAATTTTTTCCCTCTGAGAGTAAAGAATGCTTTAAAAGTGGCGCAGATATTGCTTTCGTTAAACTTACTGAATTTTCGAAGATTGCTTAAGTTAGAAATAATACGAGAAAGTATATGTTATTGCAGCACCAGTATTTCTTCCTAATAGTACACGTTTTCCTGCTTCATGCAGTTTATTCTTCTTTTTTTCAATGCATATGTATTCTAGAAGTATTATTTTACAGGATAACTTGCCCGAAGATGATGAGAAGGAATTTCATATATTGAAATCTCCTAACGCCACATATGAAGTTGTCAGTACATTGGGCAAAGGAGTGTACGGCAAGGTAAATCAGGTTTATTTCTTACAATTCTGTTCAGGGTTTCAAGTAGGAATCGATTAAGAGTATAACATGTAATTCTTTACTGCGCGACACAATGTAGGGGAATCTTGAAAGTGTAACAAGATGTTCAATAAGTTGTATTTATTATTATTATTATTATTATTACTATTATTATTATTAATAATATTTGAACTTATATTAAGATTTTTCAAATTAAGCCAAGACCTACGTTCCGAACACAATCAATGACGAAGCTCAATTACTTCATTAATTGTCTTATGAAATTGCGAGTTGCGCATAATGTGGAAGAAAATGCCCATTGCTCAACTACAAAAGTTAATTGTAAAAGTCAAGGAATTAAAGAAAAAACTCAAGGACTAATATTTACGTCAAATAAATAAAGACAATTTTTCTTTAATAATAGCATAAACGAAAGTTTAAAAACAGTTGAGAAAAATTGTTTTTGTGCCGCAGGTCATGAAGTGTCGGCATGTAGGGTCCAAACAGCTTGTTGCCGTGAAAGTCTTCAAACCCACCCCGATATTTAAGGAAGCGGGCAAAAGAGAGGTAAGAGTTTCTAAGCAGCATCTATTTCTGGAAGCTTTTTACCTATCCAGTAGTTCAAGGGAAATGTAGAAACGTAAAAGGAAATTTTGTTTATGGCGGCATTTAGAATAGTTTGTATCGGCCTTCGCTTCGATATGAAAAAATCTCAGTATTATATTTTCGTAAATAATTTTTTTTAAGGAAACATGGAAATAAATGCCAACGTTTGATTCATCCACCCTAGTAGACAACGGTCAAAAATTGTATTCACAATATTTTAAATAATAATTTAACTATTTAAGATTGAAGAATTAAATATTATAAGAAATCGGTTTAAAGTAAAAATGATTAGTAAACAGAGTATCTTCACAATTCGAAAGAGTATAGTATTGGAGAGAAAACAATTGAAGCATGACGCATAGGAAGCACATTATTCTAGGTGTTAAAAACACGTAGACTTTTAGTGAGGTGGCTGCTGCATGCCCTTGTGATGATCTTGTAAACATTGTTTGAGGTGTTGGAGAGAATGATGACTTGTAGATGATTCATCTATTGAAACTTCATTAAGGGAATGACTTCTTACGTACAAAACAGCGTGACCGTGTGGGCTGTATAGAATAAATAGAAACTGGAGTAAAAGATGGTTGGAGTGGAACTTTCTTTAAAATTTGGTGACATATAGAAGCCTGTATCACAACAAATATGTTTATAAATGAATAATAGCTCTCTTTCAACTTTACCGTTGAAGTGCTCGTCTGGCTAAATCTCAATTTAGTCTTTATCTACTTATTTTGGCAATGTGAATATTAAGTCCCAAGTATTGGCAGCATACTATCGATGACTTAGCTCGCTGAAACAGTTGGCACTGCAGCGTTTTTGACTAGGTTTTCTGTCCAGACATTGTTAAAGGTATCCAAAGAACTGAGTTGAGTTCAACCAATGTCTGAAGAATATTTTCGAAGTTTTCCCGCTGTAATTGGTAGTTTTGCCGAACAATACGAAGCGAATACCGATACTACAAATTAACAAATGGACAACGAACCGCAGGCGATCTATCCTTCTTCCTTCTTGTTCCTTACACGTACACGCACACATACATGCACACATACATACATAATACATACATAATACATACATACATACATACATACATACATACATACATACATACACACACACGCACACATACATACATACACGCGCAATGACTAACAGCACATACATTTGTATGTTTGTGACCATTTCCCCCCCATTATGAATCTGAAGATATCAACTAGCAAACCTCTCATACATTACAGCCAATCACAAGGTTGGCATGGGCCATGTTAATTAGAATGCAAAGGGCTTGATATTTTTATACCATGTCGTAAATGAATTAATAATGTTCATCGATTTGATATTGGAAATGTAATGAACTCATGTCAGAAATTAGTGCAAAAATAATCATGAATTTGTTTAAGAATAATAATTTTTAGGTTTAAGAAAATAGTCTTATTTGATTAAACATAGTTCATGAAAAAATGGTTTTTTGCAAACAACATCAAACTATAACAGTTCAATATCATAATTTTGTATTTAGCAAAACACTGTATTTGTGATTGCATCGTAGCGAAGTGAAATACATTATGAGCACTAATAACAATTATACTTTTTGGTGTCGAAATCAAATATGTATAATTCGTTGCAGTTTCATATTTCACATTGTCATATACCAACAACAAATTTTTCCAATATAATACGAAAGGCAATGTTGCTTGAACTGTATGTGACCGTCGTTTTCTCGTAGATGCTTTTTCAATTTACGCGCTGTAATTCGAATTGCGCATTCTACATGGTAGTCCCCACTCCTAGAAATTGCCTCATCCCCTTTCTTCAAATTTCTCCGCAAGTGCTCTCAAGTGGCTTACGCGCGGCTCTCGAGGTCATAAAAAGTGCTGTATAGGCCTATTGTGTTAGAGAGGTGAAGTTATTATTGAAATTCTTCTGAGATTCTAGCTCTCCCTCTCACTCTTTTTTCAACTATTTTGCTGTAACAAATAGTACTTCACACTTCAGTAATAAGTAATTAATGGTGATTTACATCAGGAGATCATGTAAACGGCAGTAGGTAAATTGGGGTCCAAGTAATCCTTTTATCTTTTAACTTCCTTTCTAATTCTACATGTAAATTGGGGACCCAAACCAAATGGACAATGCTCTTATTTTTCTTCTGTCCCCCGATTTCCACACACCGATGATTTTTCTTCTGGTCCCCAGTTTCCACAAACCGATGCTCTTAATTTCCCTTCTGGTCCCCATTGTCCACATGTCGATGATCTTATTTTCCTTCTGGTCCCCCAATTTCCACACGCCGGTGCTCCTATTTTCCTTCTGACTTCGATCGCGCCCGCCTGCGCAGGTGCAGTTCCTGGCGCGCTTGCGGGCCCTGCGCTGCGAGCACGTGGTGCGCTGCGTGGAGTGGTTCGAGGAGCGCGCCACGGGCCGCGCGTGCATCGTGCTGGAGCTACTGTGGCGCTCGCTGGCCGACGCGGCGGACGCCCTCGCGCCGCGCCCTCTGCCGCTGGACGACGCGCGGCAAGTGCTGCGCCAGGTGCTGCTGGCGCTCTACCAGCTGCAGGTCAGGACAACCGCTCGGCGCCCGCAGGTCCTACGCTGCCGGTCCCGACGGTAGCGACAGATGTAGAGCGAGATCGGGTTTAGTCACTGTTCTGGAGGAGCATTCTAGCGGTCGGGTGCTCTGATCGGTAGTTTTCCGAGGTTTCTCCGATGGGCACCTGACGAATGCCGGAGCAGTACCCTAACAACCAGGCAATGGACAGCGCGCGATATTTCTTTTCTCTTACGTGTCCTATTGTAACCCCTTTACTTACACACCTACGTGCACAACACAACCACTTATGTCGAGAGCTTACAGCTTGTCCTGGCTGAGGGTGGAAGTCCACCCGATGGGAGATACCTGGTAGAGAAAACCCGTTAGATAACGTCTAGGGCTGCGCCGGATCATACCAAATAGCGGAGGGGAGGATATCTCTGCCACTTTCTGCGATAAAACATGCATTATACATACGGTACTATTGATCTTAGTAGTTATCGCTTCCTGAAATATGAATCAATCTTTTAGACTTCCATTTACTACACAATATTTCGAGAAAGCAGTTGGGGTCTAATCTCATCTAAGACGTGTCCTACTGATGGAGATACTTGGATGGGTAAATCCCGGCTGGTGACGCAGAGGTCGGCGCCAGATCTGACCATCCAATGGGGAAGGAACGCCGCCAACTCCCAAGATATAACATGCATAACACTATCAGAAATAATGAGCATAGCTGCTGTAGTGCTCGGATACATGAATGAATCAATTTAATCACGCTCCACCGTCCGTTCCGTTCCCCCAGGGTCTGGGCATCGTGCACGCCGACGTCAAACCGGACAACATCATGGTGGCGAACGAGCCGGCGGCGGCGGGCGCGCCGCTGCGCGTGAAGCTGATCGACTTCAGCTGCTCGGTGTCGACGGCGGAGAAGCGGTGGGAGGCCGCGCGGCGCGGCCAGTACGCGCAGACGCGCCACTTCCGCGCGCCCGAGGTGCTGCTGCGCGCCGGGCTGCGCGCGCCGGCCGACATGTGGTCGCTGGGCTGCGTGGGCGCCGGCATGCTGCTGGCGCGCACGCTCTACCCGGGCGACTGCGAGTACGACCAGCTGCGCTTCATCTGCGCCGCGCAGGGCGCCCCGCCCGCTGCGCACCGCCTGCCGCGCGCCCGCCGCTACTTCCGCGACGCGCCGACGCTCAGGCTCAGGGTGAGGGTGAGGGCGAGGGCTGCGCCTGCCTTCGATGCCTGCTCGCGTCGATTGCTTCCAAACAACAGCAGACGAATGTACCCTAACAAGCTCTTCTAAACTCATTCATCATCATTATTCCCTCCTCTCCCATTACGCACACGGGTGACTCAGGTGACACTGTCACGGGTGACTCTGGTGACACTGTCGCGGGTGACTCGGGTGACACTGTCACGGGTGAATCTGGGCATCAATTGATGTTACTGTGATGCCTCTGTACGGGAAGTTTTAGTGCTGGAGTCCCGACAGTGGCAGGATTTTCCCCACTAGCCACATAGCTAGGCCGAATTCAACCGCTGCCTCGAGGAGAATCTTGGTGGCCGACTGTTCTGATCGGTAGTTTTCCGTTGTTTCTTCGAACAGTAGGTGAATGCCGGAGCAGTACTCTCACAAACGGTACACGAACCGCACGCGATCTCTCTTCTCTCTTCCTTTTTCTATTCTCACTTTTTACTTGCACTCACACACACACACACACACACACACACACACACAGACACATGCTCTACGTTACCACACGTGTTGGGAGATCAGTCGAGGGCTGCCGCTTGGGGCGGTGCCGCGCTAGTGTGAGATACCTGGTTCAGGAAAGCCCTGTGAGCCGACGCAGGTCTGCGCCGAAGCTTTCGTTCCACCGGAGAGGAATACCGCACCACACGGCTCTAATCTGCACTACATTGCCGTGACTGTAGCAAAACTATTTCACACGCCGGGAAATTCGAAATTCTCGGTCATGTCTCAACAGCGATTGCATCGAACAAGCGCATATATTTCTACGCGCCTCTCCCAAATGTACCATGCGGCCCAAAGGCTCCAGGGTAGGGCACCAGAAATCACCGTAATGCATACCGTGGTCTAATCTACTAATGGTCTAAGCCACATCTAAGTTGCGGACCAAATAATACCTTGGTCTTTTCTCTCGCAACTTACTTTCTAATTTCTCATGTAAATTAGGGACCGGACGAACCCAGGTATGAAAAATGACTCATTGAGCAGGAAAACGCGTCAGAAGGACCGTCGCCACCGTCGCCGCGCTGCTGTGCAGCTTTTACTTGCGGCCAATTGAAAATATTCCAGACTCGCTCCCGTCAAAATAAACTAGTGGTGCTACAGAATGGCACAGACCTTCCCGTATTAGTTTTCTATTTCCTTTTTGCTCTTGGATAGCTACTCGTGCTTGCCAAATACTCTGGCCAGCTGCCATCTATCACCGCCCAAAGTACATTTTTTTATATCTTCTTAATGCTTCCGTTTCCCAATTGTAGATCGGAAATATTATTTTAAGACTATTAAAGAACAGTAACATCGTCTCCTAAATAGCCATTTCTTTGAAAAATTTGAAGCCGCGTTTAAGAAAATGTCATTTAAGCTCTACTGTAAATTCGAAATTTGAAGCTCTTTTCACAGAAAATTTTTAAGTTTTCGAAACACTTCATTACATGCCATATGAATCACATTAACTCTCAAATACAATGGTGTTTACAAATTGCTGGGAATGAGCATGTAAACGGAGTGAGAGATCTTAAAAATATTAGATTTGTGTAATTTCTGAAAAAACAAAAAAATACCAAAAATGACTTTAGGACATATTACAGAATGCAATTAGAACTATCCGTTCGAAATGTTTGAAGAAAATTGGACACGTTTCTGAGAAAACTGTGTTTGAGCGTTTCTGAAAATGCGGAATTTTGAGCTAATTGTTACAGAAAACGGTAGAGTTCTCGAGAAACTTTATGTGACATTATTTAAATCACATGTACTCATCATAAATGCAATTATGTAACTCAGTTGCCACTAATATAAATATTAACAAAATTAGTGATAAGCAAAAAAAATACATTTTGTAATACTTGAAAAAACAATAGGACGGAGCACTATAGGATTACGCCATCTCGTAAAGTATATTTAGCAGTATCCCTACCAAAAGTTTAAAGAAAAAATTTGGAGAAGTTTTGAGAAAATCTAGTTTTTGTAATTTTTTAAAAATTGCACATATTGCACGGAATATTGCGCGAAGACTAATATAATTTCCAAAAATATGTACATGAACTTAATAAAAGAACACTGTGGAGAAGAAATTGTTTGAAGGAAAAATTTATATATTTCATTTGGTAGTTATAGGAGGACACCGAAGAAAAACAATATTTTGAAATTTTCGAGCATTCAGAGTTAACCGTGAAAATCAGAACTATGTTACCTTTATGAGTATATTTTAGATTTTTCTTACAAGAAATTTAGAGGAAAACTTTGGAGTCATTTTTGAGAAAATTCTGAAAATGTCCGGAGGGCTACATTTAATGTTCCTCCAAATTTTGAATAATGTTTTTCAAAATCTCAAAGTTTTGACTAGAGCCAAATTGACACTCGTTTCTTTATTTTTTAAAACCTTACGTGTAGTTTAGGCGATAGTAGTGTTCACAGTCAGCAGACGGGCGGACAGACGGACGTTTTGAAGAAAATCAAATTTTCGGTATCGAGGGAATCGAAGACTTGTATTTCCGCTGAAAACTCGAAATCGTTTTTCCGCATCATTACATAACTTTTCCTACACTACATATATTACTCCGCATATACGTATGTATACGGGAAAGTAAACTCAAAGAAAGCACTAGAAGAGTGTCCAAATTTCATGTCCAGCGTTACAGAATATGAATAAAAAACTGAATAAAAAGAGAATATAAAATAGAAAGAAAATCAAAATTAATTCAATCAATAAATTATTGAATTTAATGAAAATCAAATTTAGCCAAATTGTATTCGGGACGAGATATGCTAGTCTTAAGTCTGAAAAACTGGGGTTTTAAAAAGTGGTGTTTTAAAACTAATGGCTATAAAAATTTTCTTCAAAAATAAAGTGAAACTTTCCACTTTAACGTGAAAGCGAATGAGGTAGTAGGTCCCCAATTTCCACATGCCGGTGCTCTTATTTTCCTTCTGGTCCCCTATTTCTTTCTGGTCCCCTGCTTTTACCTGGAAGGAGACGAGGTAGTTCGGCCGCGATTACGTCTGCCCTTATCTGAGTCGGTCCGCAATTTACTTACAGGCTAAACTCTCATTCTTTCTCTGGTTCGCTTTTTACACTGCCTTTCCCCTTTAACCTCTTTCTCTTTTCCCATAGATCGTTTAGCCCGATGACTTCCCAACCGATATTTCGAGAGAAGAAGGAATATATGTACTTACGATGGTATCCAACACCAACGTAAAAAAAATGGTCTTTCACCAGTCGAGGAAGGACGTTCACTCATAGTCATGCTTCTACTATGTTTAACTTGGTGAGTGAAAAAGTAGCTATTCCACCCGCGTCAACTACTTAGTTCGGGCCTTAACTGTGCAAATTATATCCATGGAGGGGGCCCCGCAGGATCGGCCAACGTATACCTCGGTATGCGAGGTTTTCCTGTCTCAGTATCTTTTCCTACGAGACACTTCCCCGTCCCCATTAAGCTTAAGCTCTCAGCTCTCGACTGATCTACCGAGATATGTAGTAATGCAGTGTGCGTGTGTGTGTGTGTGTGTGTGAGAGAGAGAGAGAGAGAGAGAGAGAGAGAGAGTGAGAGAGAAAGAGAGAGAGGAGAGAGAGCAAGGGACAGACTGACAGAATGGATGTGTGAGGATAAAGGAAGGGTCAAGGATTAGGAAGGGAAGACAGCGTACACTATACGTCGTTTGTGAGAGCAGTGCTCCTGAAATCGCCAGATACTTCAATAAAATTGTTCAATATCTTCATTTAATTCACCCGTACTGCTTTGATACGCTTGTAGCCTATTTTCCGTGCAATTTGGCTTCAAATATTTTTTAAACGTATTAATATTTCTTATTTAGAAAAATCAGAGTTTTTAGAATATTTTTATACTTAATTCCTATATTTTGAAATTCATCACACCTTTTTGTATTAAACATCTCTTAAAATTGAGCTTATATTAGCAAAGAAATTCAGTCCGACCAACTTCAATTCAATGGAAAATATATATTTCTATTAATTGTTTTATCCAATCACTCTCCTGCCTTTGAAAGAACATTAAATATCGCGAACGTCGGTGATTCTATTCATTTTATGAAGATAGAAAACGAAAGGTTCTATAAAAGATTCTTGAATTCTAAAGATTGTTCACACATAGTTCAAGTAAAATAAATTGAAACGATGTGACTGGGACAGAAATGACTAAATAAGTGTACGCTTCAACAGAAGCCGCTTGCCCGCGCAATTCGGCTGGAGGCACCATGACTGTCTGTTTCTCTCAATTGATGATTTGATTGTTCATTTGATCCTTAAATTTGATGTTCTAACTCTGCGAACTGACATTAATAACGTAGTAAATGTTGCATAATTCTTTATGCTGATAAATTAAACAATTGAGTTATAAAATATTTGTTAAAATATGATAATAAGTAAGTTTGGAATTTCGAAAATTTGCATTTATTATGTAGATTACATTATTTGATTACGGGAAATATATTTTAACTTCATCTATTTAAAAGATGGTTAACCACATTCCTTCAGAATACGAACAGACTAACACTTCTACCAAACCACTAGAAACATCGACTACGAATGCTTCAACTTCAAATCTTGTAAAGAAAGTTGTTTTAAAAGATAACGATAGAGAAATGAACAACTCGACAACAGTGACTATACCCTTCAACCAATATTTTTCGAGAATTGCTGCTGATCTCACTATGGGCCTTCAGTCACAAAATTCAACTACAGACGTTTCCACAAATACTTTAAACACTATATTTATTTCCTAAACTTCTTCGTAAGAAATTATCAAAATAATTGGTAAACTAAAAAATAAGTATTTGGCCGATTTAGATACGTTTTAGGAGTGTTTGTTAAGACTTGAGCACTTGCCACTATACACCTATTAACTCGCATATCTAATGTATCTTTATGCACTGAAAAATTTCCAGATATTTTCTAAACAGCTAAGACTAAGCAGCTCTTCAAAAAATTACACAAGAATGAAATTTAAAACTAACCGCCAAATTCCCTTTTTTAAAAAAATGTAGATATACATATTTTACGTACAAATGGAAACCTTTTTCAGTAAACCCAAGCATTTTGAGATTGCCAACATGGATTTAGAAAACAAAAATCTACGGAAACGGAAAACTTCCTTTTCTTAAATATCACTTCATATATGGATCAAAATGAAGCGCATATTATAATATTTTTACATCTTTCAAAAGCTTTTGATGTCAATGATGTTAACATTTTAATTTCAATATTAGTTTCATATGGAATTGCTCTGTATTGGTCATATTAGTACCTGATCGAACACATATCGTATCAACTCGTATCGATCTCAGAGAGTAGAAATACAGATCTGTAATGACGGGACATTACACACATGCACCTTTTCAATTGATTGTCAATTGCACAAGGGGCCCCTCAGGGTTCGGTTTCAGGCCCCATTCTCTTTGTGCTATAAGTAAACGATATGCCTCGGACAACTCGAAATGGAAATTTCCTTCGCTAATGACAAGAATATTCGTTGCAATAAAGAAACCGTAAATAAAACAATATTAGATGTTTCAAATTGATTACGAAATAAATTAATAGTAAATGATGAAAAACAGTTTCAATGAAGTTTTAAATTTCAAATAAATAATTGCGTACTCGATTGAAAATGAACGATGCGCAATTGACTGATGTTGCGGCAACAAAATGTTTGAGTTTTTCAATTCAGTCAACCCTCAAATGGAACCTTCATTTAAGTGAAAAAATTGAACACAAAATTAAAGCATATATACATAATAATGACTAGAGCAAAAGCATTAGCTAACAATAAAACAACCGTTGAAAGATGTAAAATCTATCGGCAGCTACAGTTAGACTACATTGACAACTAATATTTACCCACTGGGACCCTATTTCCTCAGAATCCAAAACATGCCTCATCCTGCCGAAACATGTTATCTTTGTGGCACATACGCGAGGCCTTCAGAATTCTGTTCACTAAATGCTCCGTTTACAGGTCGTCATTCATGGTGTAAACTATGCATTGTCTTTGTTGCGTTTTGCTTCCATGAGTAGTAGTAGTAGAAGAGTTTTCTTCCGCTATAAAAACGTGAAGTACGTTCTGGAGTGAGTTTTATCTACTGCAGTCAACGCTGGATTTATTAAAATAATTATTTTTCAAACAAATAGATGCTTTGCCAAACAGTTTTCTTTTAAATTATATTTTTTCTAAGACACTATTTGACGTAATTTCCAATTTCCTATATTACAAAGTGGTCTGATAGTTCAGATGCGATTGTTCTAATTGGGAAGACATTGCAATAACTGACCATTTCAACGTGGCTAGTTGCCAAGAGCGAATCCGGAAACAATTTTAGAGGAAGAAGGCGGGAGATCACTCCAAATATTTTTGGAATATTTTCGAATAATTAGATTCACTAAAATACCAGCTGTTTATATTGATTGCTTCACATACCCAGAAGATCTTTCATTCTGAAGGGTATGCGGAAAGATAATTGTAACCCACATTGAGTGTTAATAGTTAAAGAGTTTAGAAAGTGTTGTTTTGTCAGTTTCTGTGTATCAAAGACAATTCAGCACCATACTTTTTTTTTTCTATCATAAAGTTGAACTCCTGTAAGTGACATGTTTATTGGTAATTTTATGTACCCGAAAATCCAAATTCAAGGATTTTAATTATAATCCCGCATAGTGAACATATGCGCTAATTGTTCTGAGACAATCGTTGACCCGAGTGCGCGGGTGCGTGTGTGGTTGCAGTCGCCGGAGGAGCTGTGGGAGCAGACGGGGGAGCGGCCGCAGCTCAACGGACGCGACGTGCTGCTGCGCAGTCTGGACGAGCTGGCGACGCAGCTGCGCGCCCCCCGCACACCCAAGTCACGCCGCTGCGCCGCGCCCCGCCGCCCCCGCGCGCCCCGCCGCCCGCTCCCGACCCCGCCAGCGCCCCCGACCCCCGACACCCCCACCGCGCCTGGCGACACTCGCGATCGGCCTCCTCAAGTATATGCTGCCCTCGTACCAGCTGGTTGGACAGTGCACTCCTTCAGTCCCCGCCTGCCCCCCCCCCACCTACTCTTCTGGATTTCCTTCATTTCGAAGGTTACATGTCCCCCAGTTTCTCTTATCTCGCTGCCGACACGCTGCTGCTAAATTCAACTAGTGGCGTGTGCAACAGAATGGCGTAGACCTATCTCGTTGTAAATATTTTCTATTCCTGGTGTGGACTCGACTTTAAGGGGTCGTTGCCCCATTACCTCTTGCCAGCTGCCACCGCTATCGCAGCCCAAACATACCTTTTTTGTCACATCTGTTTCTGAATTTTTCCGATAAATTACTGTTTTTTCCACGTTTTCCTAATAGCGAACCAAAATTATTATTTTTAACGAAATATTTACAAGAACAATAGAACCTCGTCCCAAATGGTGAATTTTATTGAAACATGTGACTCTTTTTTTTTGAAGAAACTGAGGCATTTTAGCGTTGCTAAAGATGCAAAATTTTGACAACTCATTCTTCATCATTAATATATCTTCGACTTCTTTTCGAAAAACATTTTTTTGATAATCATGTGATGCACTTTATATTTGACGAATGCAAAAAATGTTAATGTCCGCTGGAAATGGGGCATATTAAAGGCGATGCAAAGGATTTTTTTAAAACCCACCTACTATGTATGTATATATATAATATATATATTAATATACTATATATACTATTCATATACCACATAATATATATATACACATCATACTACTATATATTATATATATCACAGTATATTATATATATCATATACACTAATATATATATACTATATATATACACCGATATATATATATATACCCTATATATTATATATGATATATAAGACTAAATATATATTTGTGTTTAATTCTTCGAGAACACAGAGAATCCATCCTACAATCAAGAAGCCTTTTTTGCAGAAATTGTGGAGAAGGAGTGTGGCGAGGAGGGGCTGTTCCGTGAAGCATACCGCGGCGAAAAACGAAGGCGGTCCGGCTCACATTGGAAAAAATCCTACGCGATTGTTTAGACAGTGTTGTTCATACAAGACATACGGAACGGACGTTTGAAAAAAAAACCTTCGATATCAGAGGACCGAAAAAACTGTATTTTCCGTCGTAAATCCACGTAATCTTATTTTCCGTCGGCATGTAAAATAACTAACTGTATACTCATGTTATACTGTAGTCCTTAGTACTATACACGCAAAACAGTAAGAGCCCTGAGAATATTTGTAACATAGTTTGTAAGAGAAAAATTACAATCCTTTAAACGATCCATCATTGATTTTCAGCTTCCCTAAATTAAGATTGCAAAGCCTCTAAATAAAAAACAAACTTCCAATGGCCTTCCGTAGTGCCCCCCTTTACACCACTTACTGGGATAATTAAGGGAGTTTGAGTGTTGTGGCAGCCGCGAACTAGTATTTTTTATCTAATATTTCTGCTCTCAGTCAGTTCTGCCGGATGTGGGGAGATCGCTCCAAGCGTTGACTGCCTGTGACAGGCCTCCACTAAGGGAGAGTGCTCTATGCGCATACGAATCAAGCTTCAGCTGATTGAGCTTCGGCACAATTAGCGTCCATAATATTTATGTATCTGGGTATCCGTTTATATCTGCCTATCCTATTGGTATGACCTAAAATCTATCACCTCGCTTTACAAATACTGAATAGAGTATCTTAAAATTATGATGACTATTTTCTTAAATCGTCCTGCATCTTGCACACCCCTTTATCGCCATTTTCTTCCGCTTGGTCGTTGTCTGACTGGCGCTAAAATGTCACATCATTGACTAGCGTGTGTGCGAGGTGAGGCGAGGAGTTGTGGGCCCTTCTCGGCTGGCTGCGCGATGGCTATACATGGCGCCAGGCGATTCTGGCTCTGGCGCGCTGTTTCCAATCGAGAGTACCCGTGTTGGCCACGTTCCGTTTCTCGCCGAGTGACACAACCGCGGTGGTTCGCAGAACACGGAGCAAACACACAATCCTCCGGTAGCCGCTCAGAGAGAACTCAATCCAGCTGTGCACTCTCCCGCAGCACTCGTCGCTGCCCGTGGCTGCGCCCATCATCTCGACGTAAAACTGGGGAGCTGCTCCAGCTGCGGCTCCTGCGCACCCGATGCCTTCTTGCTACTAGCCCAGTACTTC